TCTCTCTCTCTCTCTCCTCTCTCTCTCTCTCTCTCTCTCTCTCTGCGTCTGAGTTGCTTGCTCGAGTACCGAGTATCGGTCTGTTTCTCTCACAGAACTTTTCTCGGATTAATCGGTTCTTTCCGGTCGCACTTTGGAAAAGTTTGCACGGAAGCGATTATAGCTGAATCAATTCGGTTATCGCTCGACGGTGGAGTTTGGCCGAACCCCGGCGGCCAGAATTCGGGTGCGGCCCGGAGCGCCCGGGTAGACCCGGTGCAGTTTGGGAAGGTGAGCGCTCAGCTGACTGTCATCGGATGGTCGGTGACGAGACAAATCTTGGCCGTTGCCAAGTGAAAGAGCAGGCGATACTGCGTACGCGCGTATATCAACGGCATATTACACTTCCATTCGACGGAATAAATATGTTCGAGGAAAATAACCTGTCCCCGGGGGAAGAAGCACCGCCGAGAGCGGAGCGTCCGTCATGATCGAGGAACCGATTGGGGGAGGGGAAGGGCGAATGGCCGTAATAATGGAACAACGGCCGCGCGATGATTATTATCGAGTTGCGAGTAGGCGAGAGCGTGCGCGCGAGAACGTGTAATCACGCTATACTATTATAACTAGAACGGTTTGACCATAATTAGAGAGGCTTGCGCGCGTGCGCGCGCGCGCGCACGCACACACACACACGCGGTTGGTCACGGTTAGATCGGGCCGGATCGGGCGGAATTCGCTCGTAGATCCTGCGCCGACCGAGCCGACGTGACAGATTAAACAAACGCGGCCGCGTTGAATGGATCGACGAAAAACGACGCGCGGCGACGGGGGAGAGGACGACACGATCAGGACTGTGTGCACCTGCCCCACCCTCTCGTCGTTCCCATCGACTATCCACCGCACACCCGGATGCTCCGAAGAGCAACTGCGCCCCTCTTCGCTTTTTATTGCGAGCGGGAGGGCTGCCGTCGCTTAAATAAGCTCGGCACCTCGATAAGGATCGCAGGTGAAGTAAAATAAATTGCATTCGTACTGCCGAGTGGTCCACCCTATTACCTCAAGCTGCTAACCGCCCCCGTCGTTGCACCCTCGAGTGAATCTTTTTCTCTCTCTTTGTTTCTCTCTTTCTCCCTCCCTCCCCCCCCCTCTCTCTCTCTCTCGTTCGCTCGCTCGGTCTTTTTCTTTTTTCTTTTCCTTCCTTTGCGTCGCGACAAAAACGAGGGTGACGCGGCGTCAAAGACAGAAACACTTTTCTTTTTCTCTTTTGGGCCGTTTCTCTCTTGCCCGACACCTCGATTCCGGAATTTTCTTTGATCCTGCGCCGAACGAGTGCGCGCGCGGCTATTTAATTAACAGCACCGCGGACGAAGGATAGACGATGACGTTTAACCGGTGAAACGTTCTCACGGTCATGTATAAACTTCCCGTTCCGCGCTCACGATTGTATTTTTAATTCGCTTCAAACGTTCCGCACGGCTTTGCCCTGCCTGCCTGCCTGCCTGCCTTCCTTCCTTTCTTCCTTCCTTCCTTCTTCTTTCTCTTATTTTTTATTCCACGCTACGCGCGTTCTTACACTGCATTATCGTGCGCGAGCTCTTTTAATTTGTCCGAAAAATACCAAAATTTTTTCCCTCATCCCTCTGCCCATTTCCTCTGTTTTCCTCAATCCGAGGGCGCAGTCAGCATTTTCGCACCGGGCGTATTTCTGCCGCGCGCACGTAACGCGTTACATCGGGCTCGTCCGGAGATTTTTGCATCTAGTATTTTACATTTCACACTGCACGTCCCTGTTTCGTACACCGTGTATGTTTGTGGGTGTGCATATGTGTGTGTGTGTGTGTATATAGCGGGGGGGGGGAGGGAGTTCTTGAAACATCGTATCGGCCAGACTCGCCGCCGGCTGTTCCGTTCTCGTGCGCTCTTAATGGGTTTATCTTAAACAGCGCGAAATTTGCGACGCCAGTACGGAAAGTTACTACGATCGACGTAATCGTTACCTCGCACATAACCGAAAGGTTGTTACCTTGCGAGTTTCACCCAACGATAGAGTCTAAACGTCCGCGACGGCGGTAATTGTGACACCATATTTAACGTCCTCCTCCCTCCCTCTGCAACCGACCCCACCCCTCCCCCCGCCGACCCTCTACGTGCTACCGCCATCCCATCTGCGCGCCGTGCCGTCCGTTTTCTCGTTACGGCGTTACCATCGGGGTGTGTACACACAAACTGAACGGTGGTTAATGGACCGAGGCAATAAAGCGGCCGGGGCGTTACATCGATTACAGGAGCCCGGAGAACGGAACTTTCCGCGATCCGGCAATAACTCTAAATATCGAGGTATCGGTCCGTACACGCTGGATTCTCCGGATTAGTTCGACCCGGTTAGCCAGCCGCCATTTCTCGACACCCGTTATATGCGAAACAATCTCAACGACGCTTCCGTCCGTCTGCCCGTCTTCCTTCCGATACCTCTTTTATGCCGGCATTGCCCGGCGTATGCGTGTGTGTTTTGCTGTTTTCCTTTCCTGCCGCTCGTTAAAGCGCGGCATGTAATTTACACGGTCGATTGCAGCAGATTGTCGCGCTCTGTCGCGTCATTGTCCGCACCTGTCGATCGGTCGTCGCACAACGAAAATCGCCGGGAAATGATGCGCGATATATATTCGTCGGAAATAAATTAATTACGAAGCAGAAGCTAACTCTAATTTATGGATCGCATATCCAAGACCATTACGTTCCGCTCACCTAATTAACGGCGTAACAAAGACGCAAATTTGCAATTTGTGCGCTCTGAATTAACCGAATTACAGTCTGGGAGAAAGGGGTTGTGTAAGAGGGGGGAGAAGGGAAGAGAGGAAGAGAGGAAGAGAGAGGAGAGAGAGAGAGAGAGAGAGAGAGATGACCATATTTGTTAATGCATTCCGTTTCATATTTAATTGATCGAAATATTTCATGCGGCACTGAGCGCATCCTCCTCGTTTGTTACTCTTATTCCTCCCTTTTTCTAAATTGCCCTCGGTGTTGTGTAAAGGCGATTGCAATTTTCTCCATTTTCATCGGGCTTGATGGTGAAAAAAGAACAGAGAGAAAGAGAGAAAAAGAAAGATCGCGGGCGTCACATTGTTTATCGTATATTTTCCACTGTTTACCCCCTCCCCCCCGACTTGAAAGGAAAGTTGACAGCATGCTTACCTGTAGGGAGCCGCCGTCCCATATAGTGATTTTTCTGGCGCGGGAGAAAACGAGAGCAGGGACAGCGGGGCCGGACGGATATTTCCGTGGGCAGCTCCGCAAATTGGGAACGCCAATCGATACTTGCCGAGAATTGGTGACTCAGCGAGGTGTGCTAAAATAGACACAAATCAGCTGGGCTGCGCGCTCGACATTTGCCGAAATCTTCCGCGTTTGTTAAATATTCACGCGACACGGCTGTTTTGCGAGTCGTGCAATATTAAGAAGCAGTCCGTCCTATCTGGTAGGTCCGTCTGCCCACTCTGGAAGAACGGAACCCGGTATTCATGAGTCTACTTTCGCACAAGCAAGTTTTTACATAGCAAAGTACCACGCCAAGTTTCGTTGTTAAGCTTATAAATTCACAGTTGGCTTCTCATTCTCTCTCTCTCTCTCTCTCTCTCTCTCTCTATACTTTTCTTTCTGTCTGTCTGTCTCCCTCTCGACCTACCCCACCCTTTCGCTTTCGACAAAGTCGAATAAATACCGATAAATACAATTCACACGTCGTATCATGAAATGAGCGTCCACGAAAAACAAAATTGATACTGAATGACGAAATTTGCGGTGACAGGGGACTCGGGATCGTGACCGCGATGAGATAGGCTTTCCGAAACTCGTGATTAGACGGTAGAAAAAGAAAGATCCCAGTCCCTCGTGAGGGGGGGGGGAGGGGGACACACATCTCCTCCACTGCGTCGTCGTCGTCGTCAACGACTACGGAGACTTAGATCGATATCAAAACCCTTCGCGAAGAGCGACTGCCAGAACTGTCTGATTGCCGATAGGGAGTTTTACCCTCCATCCTCACTATCTAGAGAGTCGCCGGTAGAATCGCCGCTATCCTTCTCTTCGATTCGCCGGGGATATCGGAATAGAGGGACAGAGTGAGAGAGAAAGAGAGAGAATGTGAGGGAGAGAAGCAAGGAGGATGGGTGAAGGAAAACGGTGATGGGAGGGCACGGATGAAGACCGTCGAGAGGAACTTTCACCTGAAGGAAACTTAGAAACCCTTTTATTCGTTCCTTTCACGATGCTACTGAACGTGCTCGACGTCGACCGGATGCAGGATGCAGCATAGACGAAGGAGCACCGAGTTTACCTTCATCCCTGGAGCAGATTCGAAAGCGAAGACGCGAAGCAACGGAGGAAGAGAGGGAGAGGGAGGGGGGAGAGAAGAGACTAGCCGGAGTGGATCGCGTGAGAGCGACGAAAGAGAGAGAGAGAGAGAGAGAGGGAGAAAGAGAGACCAGGGGGTGAACGAGGAGACATGGCCGTATCGCGACGAACTATGCTTTTCTTTTAACGAGCCGGTCGAGCGGCAAAGTTCTTTTTGCCGCTATTAACTTCGGCCCGTGGGGGAAACGGATTCATGTAAAATTCATCCGGAGTTGCCACCGGCAGTTCGGCTACCGGGATGGGACGAAGAGCACGGAAGGAAGGAAGAACGATCCGACCAAGGGGATGAGTGGCGAGTTTTATGAAATTTACCCTTTCGTTGTGAACGACGAGAAGCATCGGATATATGGCTTTTTAATGGGTCATCTCTTCTCTCTCTCTCTCTCTCTCTCTCTCTCTCTCTCGCTCTCGCTTCTCGCCTTCGACGTTCGAGTTTCGGCGCTACGGTGATTTACGTTGAAATTCATATTGGCCGGACACAGGACGGCGGATGTGTCACGTTTAATTTATACACACGGAAATCGTTCGGCGGCTTTCAGCGCGAGAGACGGCGGGATTAGCGAGATTCTCATGTAGAAATGTAAATTCCCCTTGTTCTCTCTTTGCAGGCTGAATTTCGCGAGTGTTTGGCGGCGGAAACGAGTGTCCAGCGTTACAATGGGATGAATAAGGTGAGTTGCACTTTGTGCCGTAATACGGCAGATGATAATTCGATCGCTCCGCGTCGCTGTCAAAACACGCGCGGAAAACGTTCTCTTGATTATTATTATACGTAACGTCGACTGCTCTCGTTCTTTCGAGATCCCGCATTTCGCCGAGTTTGTCTCGGAATTTGCGTTCGCACGCATTCCCATGTGCGCCTCTACATTTGTGGAGCCCTCTTTTCCCGGGCAGCATTTTAATTCTCACCCTGTCGTCGATATGAAACGGTTCCGACGACGAGCGTCGCGCAGCCAACTACGAACTTGGCGCGATTGACACACAGCAGTCGAGGGCACCCGCGCCGCAAATCATCGCGCGAAACCATCGTCGTCTGCCGTTACCCTGTACGTACACGGTGTGCATCGATGCCGCGGCTCGGTGTTGGTAAGACTCACGCGGCGGGATGCGCAACCACCGTTATGCGGATGGGGGTTGGATATGTACCGGAAGTTTAGCCTCGCCGCCCACGCTTCTGCCGCGACTGCATTCGCTTCGCGCGAGAATATTTGCACGGAGCGGTGTTCGGCGCTTTCCGCGCTAATAAACCGTTCCTCTTGCCACCGTCGCTAATTACTCGACGAACGACTCCTGAACCCACCTACCTACCTACTCTCCCTCTCTCCCCCCCCCCCCCATCCGTCGAAATACCGTGCGTCGCTCCTGCAATCTCATAGACCTCTAAGCACGAAACTACTTACTACTCCTTGGTCGTGCGAAAGGTATTCTCGGAATTTCCGCGAGATTGATGCCGCTCGACTACGGCGAGCGCTTCATTATTATCGCTCGAACGTACGAGCGGTCCCGATTCCGACGTCGTCAGCGAAATTCGACATCGGGCGAACGCGTCCAAAGCGCGATATCGGAAGCGCGAGTCGAATTTTTCGCGCTGGGGTGTAATTCTCGCCGTGTAAGTTGTACGCCCAGCATACAAGAATACGACGAGCTGATCCGCAGATTCGAAGAAGCATGGACGTCAGAAGAAGACGTCTCATTGACAGACGACGTGAGCCGAGCGTGAGACGACGATGCCTTGGATCTTCGCGTATCTACGCGTATTCCTCTCGCGTCACCTCCGGCCGTACGAGCTGGCTGAAACTCGGCGGCAATTTCCGCTCGAGCGCGCGACCGGATAGAGTTAGCAAGAGGAATAGAATTAGCAGGCGCACGGCTGAAAGAGCGTTAAACTCGCGTAATCGAGGTGCGAAGGTGTGCTTTTAATTCGGTGCGTCGCGCGCTCGTTAATATTAAATTCAGTCATCGACAAAGGGGACGCGCGCGCGCACCCGGCCGATTGTCTTAGCCTTCGCCGGATGTCAAGAGCGCAAACTCCCGCGAACACGGTGTAGTACGACACGGTGCAGACTTGCGCGCGCGCGCGCTATGACGAGGACTTGGTGACGCCGTTTTTGCATTTGACAGGTCGCCCCTCCGATGGAGAGACTTAGAGAGAGGGAGTGGGCGAGAGAATGAGAGCGCGCTCTAAGAGATTGCATCGCGTCGCGCCATCGCCATCGTCGTTCAAACTCCGGGAATTGTGCAAACTTCGAGCGGCACGAGCGAGCGAGCGAAGACGGGGCGGAGGCAAATCAGGGAGAAGGGAAAAAGTTTCGGCACGCGGGCGACCGCCAATCGCGGCGACCCGCTGAGTTATTAACGTCTCGACGTTCCGAGTCGCCTCGGGGCGAGTCGCTGCTCTTCGAAGAGGACTCCGCGCGCCAGAAAGGCTGCCTGATCTCGGAACGTCTAGCCATCTTTCTTCGCTCGTCTTCCAGTCTCGCGACTCCACAGAACGAGGAGGACGGAAGGGAAGACTACGGAAATAGCGAGCAGGATGAACTCGTGGCACCGACCGAGGCGAACGCGAGCGCTACCATGTAGACGCTCGTCTCGTATTCCCAGAGGGTTTAATTAAGAGGGTGTGTTGTCGGTGCCTCGTCGTTGATCAATAGCTCAAGGGGCACTACGTGCTGTGACCCTCTTCGTTTCGCAACCGTCTATCCCGATTTCCCACCCCTTTCGCGGCCTCTTACGGTCTTCGGCAGGAAGGATGATGAGGAGGAGGGGGCGCGCGCGCGGTTGGCGTATCTCGATCTATCTAGCCGAGCATCTTTCTCCTACTGAGCTGGGTTCGATTTCTCTCGCTAATACTCGACAGGCTCTTTGATGTTGAGGACTGGAAGACACTGTCATCGCGTCGTCATGGATACCTATGGTACTTCCGGGAAGAGAGCGAGGACCTCTTAGCCTCCTTTCCGCGAGAAATTAAGCGGCTCGCTTTTACGTGATCGGGAAATCAAGCGAGCGTCCTCTCGTCGATAATGCGTATTGCAGCGTGCTCATTGCCGTCTCGTGCACTTGACGCTGAAACGATCGTCTGGTCTAATTAAAGGATGAGACGACGACGACGACGACGACGACGACGACGAGAGAACCAATGGCAGCGGTGCAGCGCGCCATGAGAAATAAAATACACAGCGCGGATATTCTCCGCGCCATCCGCCGACAAAGAGATCCCCGATCGGATTAAGATTCGTCTCACGTGTTTCGTTAATTTCGCACGTAACGCTATTACGTGACACTTGAGCTAACCGTTATCTTTTCACAGGCAGACGGCACAAACGAATTGGATCACGGTGGATCACGATGGAACGCGCGCGCTGAAAAATCGAAGTACCGTGTACTCTCGATTACGAGGGATTTTTGCATAACTCCTGTCTTTGTAGCGAAGCTAATAAACCGCTGTGATCGCGGATACCTTTCAGTCGCTTTAATGGCAGTTTATATTGGGATTGGCAGCCCGGAGCCAATATCGCCAGCGATATCCTTCGTGCCAGTATCGAGCACTTGAGAGTGTTATTTTAACAGAAGCGGCTTCGAACGAATATCCTCTTACGCGCGCGCGCTTCCTACGTGGAGCGACGGATGAGACGAAAAGCAGCGCGTATGCTCTCTCTTTCTCTCTTTTAACCCTTTGTTCTCGCGCTCTCATCCCTCCCCCCCTCCCCGCCGCTTTTATTCGAGAGGCCGCGTCGCGGCCTCCTGATTCCTGTGCGCATAACACGCGGCCGTTGCGCAAGTATTATTAGGAATCGACAAATATTATAGTTGCGCGCGCCGCGCAGACGCGCCGCATAACGCGAAACTTTGATGAAATTAGGCTGATACGCGCGAAGGTATGCGAGCACGCGGGGATGTAAGGGATTCTCTGTCGCGCGCGCCGAGTTGCGGAATTTATTACGATAACATGCCGATGGTAACCTTGCCTTAAGCCTCGCGCGCGCGCGCGCGACAAGCGATTTCTGCGTTACACCGCTTAACCGCAAATTCACTTTTAACGAATTTATCCTAAACCGAGCAAGAATGTGGGGCGCCTCGGCTGAAGTAATCTATTTACAAAGTTCCAACCGGTCCTGTACCTGAGACTGGGTTAATAATGGAATTAATGCGCCACCTCGATAAAGCGTATCTGCCATTACAATGACAGATGACGCTTGAAGCGCTAATAAAGATCGAACGATCTTCCGTCCGATTAGCGTGACGAGCGTAAATCTGCAGTCTACGTCTCGCTTATCTCGCTGCAGTAGCGACATCGATAAGAAATCTCTCGGAGATTCTTTGTCTACTCGCGAAGGGATTAAATCTGAGCGGAAGCAAGATGGGCCAAGTTGGAGGAGAATTGGAAAATTGAGACTTTCTCCGCGAGCGCGACGCGTAGCAGCTCTCGATCGGATTACTTTGTCGGCGGACACTGCTAAGAATAGCAGCGGGCATGGCGATCTATAACATAGTTTCTGTATTGTTAAAGAGGCAAATCGCAACGTCCTAAACCACTTAACCACCGCCGCCGCCGCCGCCGCCGCCGCCGCCGCCGCCGGTGCGCCGTCGAGCGGCCAAGCGAGGCATCAAAAACGCTCTCGAGCGCGGCGGCTGCGAAACTCCCGAAACGCCGCTAAATCCCGGGACTTCCGGAATTCCAGGCATCAACCTTCATCCCTGAATTCGGGATTAGTACCGTGAGCGCGTCCGCGCTCCCACGAGCGAGGAAGCGGGCGATACTGTTTGTTTGCTGCCGGAGAGTTAACGGTAATCCACGTGAAAAGGAAAACGCCGCGGATAATTTGTAACTTAATGCAGTCAAGTGGAACGCGAAATTGGCCAGATTAACTTTCGATGTTGAAACACACGCACACATGCACGCGCGTGCGGACTACGTTGGTGCGTCTTTGTTTTCGAGTATTTTCTATACATCACTGATGTATAAAATCGCAACGTGACTCAGAGAGAGAGAAAGAGAGAAATAGAGGAAGAGAGAGAGAGAGAGAGAGAGAGAGAGACAATACACGTTTAAAAAAAACAGCCGATCGTGTAATTGAACCGGAATTGCATCGGGACGAATCGTCCGATATAAATCAAGTTTATAACCGAGTTTATACTCTTCGGTAACGAATGCAGCATCACGTTAAAGTCCAGACGAAATATTTAATATCAAAGCTACTCGTTCTGAATATTCAACACGACAAGCCATAGAAAAGAAGGGGACAGGTGAAATCTCTTTCCTCGCGACCAAATCGTAGCAATGCGCGCGCGGCCGAATCACCGCGGAGTATCGGAGGAAATATCTATCGCGATGCAAATTGCATGCAAACGGTTAAGCAGCCCCGTCGCTCGGCAGGCGATCATCGATTTTGCGAAAGCGGCCGTCTGACAAGAGGGATAGAGAGAGAGAGAGAGAGGGAGAGAGAGAGAGAGAGGGAGAGAGAGAGAGAGAGAGAGAGAGAGAGAGAGAGAGAGAGAGAGAGAGAGAGAGAGGAGAGAGAGAGAGCGCAAGAGAGAAGGAATAGATAATAGGTAGCGAGAGGAGGAGACGCGACAGGTAGAGGGCACACTCAAGCAGAACCGGTAGGATGATGGCAGAGGATGGTGGCGGTGGTAGTGGTGAGCGGATGGATGGGTGGCTGTGGGGGTGGCT